AATAAAAAACATAAACTAAAGACGTTTGACATTGTAATCACTTGGAAGGAAAATCAGTTTAAAGATTTAAACTTCTGTTTGAATTAGGTACACTGCGGTTAACTACGTATCATAATAGTCCAAAAAATTATATAATGTTTGTTTTGACGGTGCAACGACATTAATAAATTATTATTGTGGTCTCATTTAGTCATATACGATACGTCGTTATCGTTTTATCTTATTTTAGCATAAATCTGACAGTAACTTTCAGGCTAATGTAATATAATACTATGAGATACTAATAGAAGTAAAATTGTTTCAGGTTTTTTTTAAGGTTTATTTTCTCAGACCATTTACTTGTTATTACAAATATTACCACTTTTTGGCTCTTTTTACTAAAAACCTTTAAAATACTATTTCTTAATTTAATCCGTAGTATTCTGGGTACATATATAATATAATATTACCTATTATGTTTTGTATCTTGAGTCACTGACATGAAGATGTTGTTTTACGAATTGGATTTACTAGTTTGGGGTTTTCATAACGAGTGGACATATTACGAACATCACCCAGAAGTTGTAGGTAAATATTTTGAATTTTTAAATTATCGCAATCTGTTAATACTGTAGAATGAATATTGTATTATAATTGCTCTGACATAAATATAAAAAAAAAACAATAATTATTTTATCAATATAATAAATTATATTTACTTACATGTTGTAAAAGAATTGTGTTCGTTAAAATATTTTATAAAGAATAAATAATAAGATACCTAGTAATTATATATTTTAACTTCGTGTATGCAGGAATAATGGGAAGTGTGAGTGAGGTGACAGAGTGACAAAAATAATTTAAAGTATTTTTGAGAAATATTATTCTACTAAGCTCTAAATAATATGATACACTTATTGTTGGTTTTGATGCATATTATTTTTGCCGAGTAATTTTAGTTATTTTTTTTATAACAATTATATGAACATAAGATACTTGTTAATCTTAAATTATAATTTTTAAATTCTTTAAACTTCCATTGTCGTTTACTTTGTATCTCTTTAAAAGGCTATTACTTTTTTTTAAATATATTAAATATATAAAATGTTCAATAGGATTATATTATGTGCCTTATTTATGTTTTCAGTTGTTTTTATTTAAATTCTAACACTAATATTTCTTTTTAACACCAAGTAATACCACACAAGCATATACAATTCATATTAAGAAAAAAAATCACAGTAAAAATACTTAAACATTTATCATTATGTACTATTAGATTTCTATTAACGAGGGTATATTTTATATCACCAAAGAATATTATAAAAGTATTGACTATTTTATAAATATTTATTTTTAATGAAAGCTATTAATTAAAATGTTATAACTCTTGATAACTCTTTGATTAAGAATGTAAGTATATACATTATTCTGCAATATGTATGACTGAGAGAAGACTATATAATAATGAGTTTCTTATTAGAGACTTACGCAATATACTGACAGAAAAATCTAAAAATATTGAACCCTTTTTGATACTTAAATTTATCTAAATGTAAATAATAAATGTTTGGTAAACAGATAGTACTGTATAATATTATACATATTAATATACTTACATCCTACATAATAATATGTTGGGTAGAATTTTCTTAAAATCTTTGCACTATCTTTTTTTTCCACTTCTTTTAAGTTTGACTAAAATCCATGTTCTTTAAATTACATCATGTAGGCATTGTTCTAGTGTAGGTATATGCATTCAAACAAATATCAGTTTATTGAATTTTCATTACTAATCTGCTACGTTCATCATTTAAAAGATGATATTGCACAAATAAATTACCGCAAATTCGGTAAATATACGAGAAACGGGAAATACGTATAAGTGTATGGGTCGAATGAAAAATTATAATCTATTTGCTGCTGAATGCATATTCCGAGGGGATCACTTAAGATAAAGAGTTCCACTAAATAATAATATAATAATAATACATATCTTCGTGTTTGATACGGTGGTCCTTTGAAGTGGACCTTTCGGTCAACTGAATTCGATTACTCTCTAGATGAGTAGTCTATATAGACGTATGCGTGTAATTTAATCGCCGCTACTGTCGAGTAAAATCGGGAAGGCTAATTAGATGGTCCATTAATCACATCACCCAACCAGTATAGGTAACTCTATTAAAAGCTCTACCGGTGTACACACTACACAGTAATAATAATAATAATAATTATAATAATAATAATACGGTTTCTCCGAGACCTTTGATTTAAAATCGAACGTATATGTGTACTTATAAAAAGAGATGTTATAATTTCGTTGCGGACGGATGACTTATGTTGATTATATTTGATCAGTTTAAAAGACAAACATTGAAACGTTTAGGTTATATTTTAGTTGAAACGCTCTTTTGATCTTAAGTGATTAATGAGAACCTTTAACCGGATATTGAATCCGCAGGGTTATAAATAAAGTAGTTTAAAATTATGAGTAGGTACAGCGTGTATATAGAAGCCGAGTATTAAATGGTAACCCATTGGAAAAGTTAATATATGAGAGAGTCAATGACTATACTGAGTATTGTGAGTTGAGCGGATATTCGCCGCAGACCCATTCGACCTTATTTATTGAAACCAAACTCGGAAGTCCGAACGTATTTTATTGATTACATATTATTTTTTTCAATATGAATGAAAATTAATTCAGAAATATTTAGTATCGATGTCTTCTCTCACACGATGGAACAGTATTCAAGTAACAATATTTCAATATTTCTACGAATATCGTTGACGGACGGTTTTCGATGGTTGTTTTCTTCTTGTTTCATATAGGTATTATGGCAAAATTATTATTGTATTACAATTCAATATCTGGAACATACGCCATTATTGGTGTACAACAACACACATTTTTAAAATTAATTTTATGTACTTCTAAACCCTAGAAAAAAAGAGAAGGATTTGCGGTGGTTTAACAATGCTGGTCACAGGTCAGTGGTTATAAATTATAATTATTACATTTTTCGAGTAAAACAGACGCATTAAAATTAATTTTTCTTTTGACAAAACATTTTGGAAAAATTACCAACAAAGGTATAGGATATGATTCAATGTCAACACAAAATATTTTGTAAATTTCAAATGTAAGTTATTATTAATTATTCCTTTCTGATTATGAAATTCTTGGCTGTGAATTAATAGCACCGTGGAACTAGAAACTATGTAAGTTATTGTACGTTTAAAAATTGGAGTTGAAAATTCTAAATAAGATCATTTCAGAAAAATAAACTATGTAAAAATAAGTTTACAGTCTTTACTCGTTATACTACTAAGTAAATACAACTAAAATTCCTATAATTAATGATACGTTAAAGCGAGCAAGTTGGATCATATTTCTTAATCAAGCCATAAATGATGGCAAGAATATTAATCTAAGTTGATAAAATATTCATATTGACATTTAACACTTACGTATTTTGTACCAGCTAATCATAAATCACCAAAGGTCACCTTTATATGTAACTAACCCAAAACGAAATGTCTTAATTTTGAGTATATTTCGATATTAGGTAGACGAGTTGTCATAATGTAAAAATAAATTACAACTAATAGCAAATATAAAAATGTAATATCCTTAGAAATATAGGCTATCAGACCTCATTGATGGATCTCGACTAGAAGAATCATTTTTCATAGACAATGATTTATCACCAAGTTCAAACTTAACGTATTCATTCCGATTACCATAACCTACATTGATAATAACCTAAGTCGTCACAAGGACACCCGATAATCGACACATATACTGACCCACTAAACAGCAGAGCGACTTCCTTGGTTTTGTTTTTTTTAAACTTATTATCTTGGTTTTTGTTAATAGTATTTAAGTTGCAATTTTTATTTTGATGAATAAATCCAATTCAAAATTGATATCATATTTTATTCACATTTGGTGTCAATCGCTTGACCCTTGGCGTGTTTTTAATATGCTATAAATTGTTTTGTGAATCTTCTATTGAGTAATGCTATCTTTAAGTGATAATCGTACAACCGAAATAATGTCTAGGTATAATTTTTTGAATTTTGAATTTGTTTAACACGTGCAAATTAAAAATAAATTAATTCATATATGTTACGATTTTTATTTATTTATCGTATTGGTATATAAACCATGTTTGATAGCAGTAATAAAAAAAGGAATATAAAATAATTAAAATTATGAAAATATTTATGTTTTCACTTATGTCATAATTTAATGTCTAAGTTCTTCAACTAGTCAAGAGCTCCCGTCATTCAATTAATTATTTTAACTTTATGTAAAAATTAATAAAAAACTTCAATATAAAGTAAAACATTAAAAATGTTTTATGATTCCTAATGATAAACACATAGTATTTAATAAAACGATTAAATATATTATTACAGTTTAAACGGAAAAAATTACCACACTCCCGCAATTATGTGGTTTGATACCAAACGCGTCAGTTAAAGGCAAATTGAATAACTGAGTACATTAAAAAATTAACCATTGACTTCTATTACATGAATTCTTCAGACAGTGCTAAATTTTATAGATTAAGTAACCCGCCTTCTGTACGCCGACTCAAGTGTGGAGGTCCTCACGACCTGCTGTTATAACTATATTTATTTAATTTAATTTAATTTTAATTTTCTTCTGATTTGTAAATAATTTAAAACGTAGCTGTTGGCATCTTTTATTAATAATATAATTACGTACGTTGCAAAACTTTATTTAATAACAAATATAAATAAATAAAAGGATAATTGAATAAAATACCTGTTGATTATTATATTTATTATAGTAAAATGTTACATTCATTGTTTCATAGTTTTTACAGTACTCAACTGAAAAAACAAGGATTCATTTTTTATTAATAGTAATAGTTGATTAAAAATTCATCTGTGTGATTTTTTGAATGATAATGTTTGTTAGGTTGCTATATTATCTCTTATCTGAGACTCACACCATTTTTTGATAAAAGTTTCATATAAATAGGTAACTACACGTAGTGTTTTCTCCCTATTATATGGCAGTCGGAAGTGAATAAAGCAAATTTTAAAGGCATTGTTTTAATTTAAATTGAGTTCTCGTTTTTAAATTAGTTTAATGAATACTATTATATAACACTGTGGTTTGTTGGGAAATAAAGAAAATGGTAAGAATTACAATTATTTTATTACATAAGCTTTATAATAACTTAGTGTCTTATAAACGCACAAAATATCTAAATCTAAAATGGCTTTTAGATTATGAGAGGAGCAGCAAATGTATTTTACTATCATGTGTGTGTATGTTTTTTTTATAAATTGATATCACCTTTTGAAGCAAAAAAGCTGCTTAAATCTTTAATTCTTATTTTGTGATTATAAACTGAATCTAGTTGATACTTCGCGGAATTAATGGTTAAAAATGCTTACTATTTTTTTTACTGAAAATTACGAAAATTAAATAAACATTGGAGAAAACGAGAACTTAAATTCAACCAAACGTTGGTAATACTGCTATGTTAATTTCATTTAAATTAATTTTTTATAATACATTATAAATTATTGATATTTTTTAATAGACAATATACTAATCTACGTGTATTTAGGCTTACGTATAACTTGTAATCAAGTACAGTAATAAAAATATCCAACCAGCTATTGTGCCATCGTTCTCACACTTTGTCATGCGCATAAGTGCATTACGCTACCTCTTTCATAAATTAAACATTTTTGTTTTGTGTACACAATTGTGTTCCTTATTTCACAGAATATGTTATTTTTGTTAATATCTAACACTAATATACCTAACTGAATACTAATTTTTTGTCGATTTGATATGTTTCAGTCCATCCATTTGACCAGTTTAGTGATTTTGGCAGTAATAGCCACGGATATTGTTTTCGGTGCCCCAGTCACTGATTCCGATTGCAATTTGATAGCGAAATTCATAGATACCAAATACCCACTGACTAACCCAACAATTCTGGACGACGGAAGTGTCAAGTACCGCATAGGTATCATCAGCGACTTGGACGGTGATTCGGTGAGCACAGACGAGGCTTTCACGTGGATCAGTTATTTCAAAAAGGGATACTTGACTTATAGTCCGGTCACTAAAAACATCTCCATTGAATGGGACAATTCCACGGATAATGGGGTTCAGTTCAAATCGCACCTGTCGACGAACGGTCGAGGCCTAGAGCTATCAGAGTTAGCCACCTTTAATGCGAATCTAATAACACTAGACGACAAAACTGGATTGGTTTATTTAATCCACGATGACGTTTTGATACCCTGGGTGATGGTTACTGACGGCGATGGACGAAAATCAAAAGGTAATAATATTCATAATAATGTACATCACTGAGTGAATCGTTTAATGCTTAATACACACATCACGATTTCAACAACAATAAACGTTGTTGAAAATATTTTTAGTCGACATAATGTTTATTAATTATATTTATACTGTCGTAGTTTTATCAAATTATCTACTTTTTAATGATAACATACATGTTTGATTCCTTATTCCAAAGCAAAATATTTTTATTTGTAGTATTTCGATACATAAAGATTTAATTTTGAACGAGTATTAGATGAGTTAAGATTTATAACTTTATAAGTATTGAAAGTTTAGATCAGCGGTCAGCGGAGTGAAGTGGTACAACAATGGTATCTACACCACAAAATATTAGTTAACTACTTCCTTTATCAACTTCGAATGATTGCTAACTTATAAACTACTTGTCCGAAATTTGATTTTGGTAGAGGCTCTAAATACGTAATATTCTGCTACGTAAGTACGTTTTATTCATACGAGTAGAACTACACTTAAAACATGATAACGATAAAAAATTATAGAACTTAAAATTGTTTCCACGAATGTTGTTTTATAGCGACTTTAAATTATGTAAAAGACATATTTTCATAAACGTGTTTTCTGAAATATTGAATATCTTAAGTTGTATGGGTGTTTCAGTATAATAATTTCTGTACTATAATACATAATTACTACTTATCAAAATAATATTAACCTATAGTTCTAAAAAGGATTCAAAACTTTCAATACATTTTGTAAGTACAGATTTTTATTCACATAATAAAATACCAAATGACCTCATTGTTTGTATAGGTAGTGGAATATGTCACATATTTTAATGCGTTTAAAACGCACAACATATTTTTTGTCGTTAGTCGTTACCGCTGGTGCAACTGTAGAAAATATTTTTTAAACAAACATGTTGGGTAGGTGTGTGGGATGAGTATACTTATTGAATTACTTATTATATATACTCGTACTTAAGACCTGACTATTGAATTTCGCTTGAATATAATATTTAAACTAATTAAAACAATGCAACGAAACATATAATTGTATTAGGTAACTGTATTGGGCCCATTGAGGGCGTTTATTATCTAAAATAAAAACATTGATCTAATCGTGTTCAATGAACATGGGATTTTTGGTTTTTACTTATTTATCGGAAAGTTGGCTTCTAAATTTAAAAAAAAAAGTGAGCGGGCACTCTTTAATATTACGATCTGCAATATACTCAGTGCGTGGTATATGGTATAACTTAACGACGATACCTGTTGCAGGAATGAAAAACGAATGGGCCACCGTCAAGAACTCGAAACTGTACGTGGGCTCGCATGGCAAGGAGCAGGTGTGGTTAAAAAGTCACAGGGTCGATATTTCGTCGATGTGGGTGAAGACCATCGACAAGTCCGGCAGCGTGCAGCACCTGAACTGGACGGAAAACTTCATCAAAGTCCGGGCTGCCGTGGGTATACACTTCCCGGGGTACATGACTCACGAGGCGGTCGAGTGGAGTGACTTGCGTCAGCGATGGTTCTTTTTGCCGAGAAAAGCTTCGGTTGAATCTTACGATACGGTGACGGACGAACGGAAGGCCACTAACTTACTGTTATCCGCCTCACCGGATTTTGATGACATTAAGGTGAACGAAATAATAATGTGGCATGCTACATTTACCTAGGTACAATATAATACCTACCCACAATGTACGCCGTATATACTATTGGTTATTGCCTATTTATTTTCACACGGCAACTAAGTCTAACATACACTGAAAATATTATATTCTCCAAATTCGATTTAAAATATCGATATTTTGATTTTTCTGCTTTCAACGGGTTTTTGTAATAGTATAGGTAGTTGTTTTTATCCGGCTTTTGCGGTTTATACTTTATAGTTTTGATTTTTATTTTCAAATCTTTGATTTCTCAGCTCCAAACTCACTTCAATACGATATTTCAGTTTCGGCATTAATTTTCTGGAAACCTTCTTCATACCCAATTCATATGTTGAAATGGAATAAAAATAACCAACTTTTGATACGCCAACTTCATTAGATACTTATCCAACAAGTCGCCGGTTGCTTATAAGTTTTTCTCGAACTAGTGCAATGGTATTATTTATTTTCAATGTTGCAATTTGAAAGACGTCCAAAACAATGATCGCCTTCAACACAAATACACTTATTTTTAACACTTTTGTACCAGTCAAAAGTTACACAACGACTTAATAAAACATCTTCAAAAGCTAATTAAATCAATTCATAATTCTCGCTATAGCATTTTTACCAATTAAAAAAAGATATAATGCACTTCATCATTGTTCTGCAATATTTTTTATCGGTGACATCACGATTTTCTACAAAAGTTCAAAGTCAATAACTGGTTTGTGATAATGACTTGAACTTCTTTTTTTAAATACTGGAAATTAGAAGTCTCTAGTTTATTTAAGTAGAAATATTACAAAATATTAACTAGAATTGTAATAATTTTTTGAATACACTCCTCGTTTGAATACCAGCTTCCTATACAATATTGTTTTAGAGCGACACATAATATTGTATTTCATGCTTTTAATTATTTTGTTTATTTAGGTCGTACGGATTGGCGAAATAGTACCTAACCATGGTTACGCTAGTTTTAAATTTATTCCTGGAACTAATGATACAATGATTGTTGCAATCAGCACTCAAGAAGAAGGCAAAGTCACAGCCACGTTTATAACGGCGTTCACCGTCGACGGAGAGATCATTTTCCCGGAAACCAAAGTTTCGGATCTTAAGTATGAAGGATTCGAATTTATATAAACTTTTTATTATTTATTCATTGTTTTTAATAAATCAAATACAATTTGTGAATTATAATAATATACAGTTTGTACGAATATACAACGTATAATATCGCATGATATAACATTATAATTTTTGCATTTTATTTAGTACCAATTAGTATTTTATTCTTGGTTTAAAAGTGTTATAGTGCAAAAAGTCGTACTGCACTAGATGATTTATTTTCTGGTTTCATAATATTAGGGCTTTGATACAAAAAAAGAGCCGTTACGTATATATTTAATCTTTATTTATATAAATGCAAATATTAGTGTAGGCAGTGTTCATTGTAATATAAGGGTAGAGCAGATCAAGTATCAACATTCAACATGTTTTTATTTACATAATGTAGTCAAGTTTAATTTACCGATGTCTGTGTACAGATATCAGTACTACTGGTATATAATCAGTCTTTATATCGGGTGATCAATTTAACGAAGGCAATTATTATTTTAAATATTTTTTTAAGTATTTACATTATTTTAAGTGGTTAAAAACAAAATTTATCTAAAAAATATTTTTTGGTATTGGATTACTTTGGTACATGCAGTTTGAATTTTAGACGAGTAGCTTATGATTTATAAGTATTTTAAGTTTAGTTCAGTAGAGTGGAGTGGTACGCAGGCAGAGGTATCTCGACACATGTTGGTCCACTACTCCACTCATCTAAGCTTTAAATGTCTACCCACTTTATAACTAAAAAGCTATCTGTCTACAATTTAATTACTATAGACCGAAATTCTCGGAATTTTATTTTGCTTCGGAAATTGAAATTAAAAATGTATGTTGTCATCCAGAAAAAGTAAAATGTAATCATTCAAAATGGAATCTTAAATCTTTTAATAATATTAAATAAAAAACGTGTGCCTTACATTAATAATACACATTGTATACAGAGATGCTTATAGTATTGCGGGTATTTAATTGATGATCTGTCGGAAAATAATATATTTCAAAAACGATTTTTTCTTGACTTGCTGCCAGCTACAGACCATGTCTGCTGCAGATTCTTCGTGTTGTACATATGCGCGTTATAAGAATATAATATACATAATATTGAACATGTATAATTCGTTTAACTAATAATGAAATCGTGAAGTTTCACTCTATATAGTCAATTAACCTTTGTCTGAGAACACGCACAGTGATTTCATTATAATATCTCCGTGCTTTCTTCGTTCGTTCTTTGGTACCATAATATTATTCAAAGGGTCTGACTCGATTACCTGCTCTTGGTCGGCTTTTAACGTCCAGTCTTAAATTCATCCTCCGCCGTAATGGAATTTACCATGCATCTCATGATTAATATTCCTATGCCTATCTAGAATCAAGCTGCATCGTTGACATGTTGCACGTTTTTAGTATTGAAAAGTAAACGAACCGAACACTATAAGATACACTACCTCGTCTCCTACAGGGTGCATTTAAACGTAGTACTGATATATTATTATATTAAATCATGAGTAAAGCACCAGATGTATTTGTTTCAGATATTAATATTATCAGTATTATTATTATTATACATTTCTATGAAAACATTTTTCAATAGAAATAACACCGAGACGGTAAACATAATGTACAATGTTAGAAAATAGTGAATTATAATGTTAATTTATAACATTTTAAATTGGATATTTAATTACTATAAAATCCATAGTAGATACCCGAAGACACGTAAGTAAATGATCAATAATAATTTAAATTAATCGAACTTTGAGTATAGGTTTAAATATTAATTACTGATTCTAAGAAAAACCTTTCCATCGTCGTGAACATAATATGAGGTAGTTGGCTTTCGGTGAAAATATAGACCTGCACTTTATTTTACTTGTTATGTTTATTTACAGCTACAAGCACAGATACATCTAATGCATACATAATATATTTAATATTTATATATATACACAATTACAAATTAATAATCTTGAGCAATAAATAAAGTTTGGGTAGAACTCGGGGTTGACCGTTTGACCCCGGATACGGTGCAAATGGGAGGGAAGAAGAGAAGTTGGTCATCGAGACCGATTCTCGCCCTTCCAACCTCTTGTCATTAGATATTATGGTATTAATTTTTTACAGCTCAAATTTTATTAGACTTCAAATAAAACCGATAGGTTAAAAGCAATTTGATTATTTTTTAGCCTCTATTATTTTCTATTATCAACAAATATGAGCATACTGTCTCCATTAAACTAGGCACCTTTACTCTACATCTTGGGCCCAAATTTAATTATAATATTGTTTGACTCGGTACTATCAACTCATATAATTTTAACCGTTATTGTCGGAGTAATAGTATAGTTTCACCATCATTCACATATAATATACCATAAACATATTGTATTATTTGTATTGGCATTTAATTAAATAGCTCAACTCCTCTAATACCACGAGCAGTTATTCTTATTTTAATTTTTACAGTATACCTACACATGTTTTTCCTATTAATTACAGTTCTATAATACAATATTCTAAGAGCGTTCATGTGTATAACCCGGTTTATTGCTTACTGCTTAGTAATACATTTACCATAGTTTTATCCAGGAATATTTTCAATATCATAATTCTTTGAGAAACGAAAAAAGAATGCACAAGTGTTACTTAGAGAATGGATCGGGGACAGAAAATTGAAAATAAAATTATTAAAGTCAGAGTAACGACATATATGTACGTCTTATATTTTGATATTATTCATATACAGACTACTTAAATGTAAAAATATAATCATTTGAAACTACGCAGTGGGTGGGGATAATAACCGGTAAGTACTAAGTAGGTATTCTATAAATAGGTCGAAAATCGTGTCTTCACAATCATAATATAGAATATTGGTGTATCGAATTGAAACATATATATGAAAACGTTTCTTTTATTTTAAATTTAAAGTCTATTTTTTAAGCTATTTTTTCATACATTTAATTTATGAGGTCTATCGAATTCAAAAATAATAATATGAACTTGAACTTTTTATCGTATGTCAAACATAACACAATCGAATAGTTTAATGTAATGTCAAACTAAAATACAATAACATTTCATTCAACACCGAACCAAGTCCGTATCAAACATTTTGTTCAAATATCGAACTGAATCTTAACCAGGCTTTTGAATTAAATTTCGAATCAAACTTTTGAGTTATATGTCGAATTGAAATAATCAATTTAATTATATTCAAGTTTTAATTTAATTTGAGTTTTATGGGTGCTAACTTCTGTTTACTTCCAAGAGGTTTTTTAAAAAAAATTAACTAAAACAAGAGTGTATTTTTCGTCGATAAAATTGATAATAAACAAAATAAAAATTTAAAAATAAACATTTTTTGTCATAAACGCGTTTGACGTGTTCGAATTTTTTTTAGAGTCCATACATTTCTTTAGAATATTAACTAGGTATTTGGAATTTGAATAAATTATAGAATTTCAATAGTTTTGTAGTTTTGTTCGAGTTAAGTTCGGTTTGTTTTTTTATTTAAAAACTCGTGGGTTTAACTTTCGAACTTCGAATCAGTTTGACCCAACTTTAATCAATTATTTTATATCTAACATTTAATAGTCGTATAGGTACCAACATTAAAAAATACTGCTACAGTTAGACCCAACGATAATAGCCTGTACGTATACAGTACATAATAAAATATTGTAAAGAGTACCAAAATAATAATACTTCGAGTTTCATCGATGACTTATATATTATAAATCACACTTCTCCAACAACCACGGCATATTATAAAAGAGACTATATTTTTTCACAAATTAAAATATTATATCATTAAATCTGATTTCGTTTTCATTCGGTTTTCTCAGTTGACGTACATTATTATATTATCGCGTGCTGTGGGGTGTCGTATTGTCGCAGTTCGCTCACTTAGAAAAAAAAATGAAATAATAATAATAATTTTTTCGGCTGGCTACGACCGCGACGTGGCTTATTTCTGCTCGCGTAATGGCCAATAACGATCTGCGGTCGTTAATATATCGTTGTTGTCGGTCGGGGCTGACTTAAATACTTATAATATTGCGCGCAAAAAGAATCACGAGGGGCGAGGTAGGAAAAAAAAACTCCTCAGAAGTATAGCCTTTCCCCTCGTGCCGTGTTCCGTTCGCTCGCATCACATTGTTATTATGTATATAATGCACATAATATAAAAACGGAGACTGACATTAATGAAATTTAAACGACATTCTTCATCATCAACCCCATCCTTTAGTGTATAGTACAGTAGTAATCCTACTTCATAATTGATCCCTTCGTCGCCTCTCTCCCGTGCGTCGTCTGTTCAAATCTTTTACTTGTTAATATTTTCCGCCGTTTTCCATCACAAAAGCTCTAAACCCACGTCTCTTTTCTCCGCCCCCCTCCCGCCGCGCCACCGTGTCCTCCTCCACCGCCCGAGACGTTTTTCTTCCCACCCGTTCTCTCGGCCGCGCATTCATAATTAGAAGCGCGTGACTCCGCCGCCGCCGTCATCTCCTCCTCGATATATTATGTACCTGGCGGCGGCGGCGGCGATGGCAGATCATAATTTAAAAAGGTCTCGGAGCTTAAGGGGACTCGATCTGTCTATTAAGAGCACCTTCATGTATATGTATATACATCTGTCTCGTTCTCTTCTTCTTCTTCTTTCGCGGGGCTTAGCGTACCGGTAGATACCTGCCAAAAGCATCTCAGAAGTTAAAAGGGCTTGTGTCGCTTTTGTGTGCTTAATGCGCTGCCGGGCCAATGTTATTTTCTTCTTTCTCGAAAAAATCAAAACGTCTTATATCATTATTATTATTATTATTATTTATTATTATTATTACTACTACTATTATAAAACGAAAGAGAGTCTTATGTGCAATGATGAATTGACTTGGACTTAAGCGTTGGTGTGACATAAAAGTCGTTTTTGAGATCGGTTGCTTTTGAATAAGCTCAGCTTAACTGTTGGACATAAAAGAAAAACTGTATTTTGCTTATATTTTTTATTTAATTTTACAATTTTTCTTCTACAGATTGTGTTATACAAACTTGATCGTACGAGAATATATTATATATATTATTATATATTAAATTATAATGTATTATATAATTTCTAAAATTGTCTGCACGAATATACAAATACTCAAACAGTTAAAATCATCTTATTCAAGCGAACACAAAGAGCATTGTGTAACGTGATTTTGAGTTATACTTCCAATTATGTTTGCTTCCAATTTTGCACATGAATTAAACTATCGTGTAGTAACAATACAATTTTGGTCTTTGACATTTAACTATAAAAAAACAATTAAGTAAATGAAACCCATACTTTGTAACTGATTACTATTTTGTTATTGTCTTCGGTCTATTTTCGAAGTTATTTTTAAATGTCTTAATTATTTTATTCATATCGTTCAAGTAAAATAACGTTATTTTGTTTGTGTTTTATTCGATACGTTATGGCCCATTGAGGAAAAAAAATGTTGCAGAACGCTTAAACTTATTTAAACATTTTTACGGATGTTTACCAGTTGCCCCTCAAGGCTACTATCGCGATTTTAAAAATATACCAGTTGCCCCCAATCAAATGTAACAGTTGCCCCCAATTGAATGTACCAGTTACCCTCACATGTTAACATATACACAATACAATATATAGCTTGGAAAATAGGGGAGGTAAATATACAAATCATAAATAAACCATTTTTACACTTAAGGCTATTTAACCAACTTCTTAGTACTTAATAAATTTATCTATCTGTTAAATATATTCGAGTTTATTATTTAAATATGTAGTCAAATATACTTATCTTGGCTGTCCAGTTTCATATATGTTAATAATTAGGAAACTTATTTCAAGTGAATTTGTTGAATAGTTTACAAAATTTGACCTATAATATTCTTAGATATTATGTATTTATTGTTTATTCACTTAGTATGCATTTATCACTTACTATTCGTCCACGTGTAATAAACATAAAAGTACTTATGTTGCAAAAAGTGCAGTTTAACTAGACATTGGTTGGGCCGTGGTCAAACTTTTTTCATTTAGCACCCGTAAAGCTGTAATATTACAACAATTGATATCTATAACATAATAATATAATAGAAATACTTCCTCTCTCTTTATCTGCACAGAAGTGAGAGTTAAGTATTATAATTATTACCCTTATTTGACCTTAGTATCATATAATTACTTATAATATTATTTCAAGTGTTACGGGGATTAGTTAACGAATAACAAATTAATTCGCAGGCTAAAAAAAAATTTGTGTAACTAATACCGATATCATTTTTTATTAAACATTGCTTTTATATTTTTTTTAGTAAAACCCAAGTAAAAATAGTAAACAAAGTTTATGTAAATACAATTATAAATCAATTTATTCGCTTCATCAAAAAATGTTGAACAACAAATAATAAAACATAGAAAATATATTTTATTGTGACACTTGTTTGATAAAAAAAAAAAATTTTAATGTCTTATATCGTACAGTAGCTATATTTTGATCCAGTTTGGGAATAGGAAAATTATACGCAAGCTGTATTGTTTTTTAAACAACCAAGCAGACAACGCATGTAATTACGATAGGATACTGTAAAATCTAAAAAATAAATTAAAAAGACATTTTCAGGAGTACACGACGTGCTTAATCGATTTATTGTTCCAATAATTATTGTTACAAAATGTCGTAAAAAGTAAAATACACACGATTTTTATAGGCCAAAAAAAAAATATATATAATAATTATAATTTGAAAATATTTTGTAAGTAGGTAGGGTGTACACTGGTAAGCGGTTAACCTATTGTACGGTATCTAACATCATAATATAAATATAATATATATATATATATATCAAGGAGAACTAGAAAGCCCCTATAATTCTATACAAAACCGTTAACTGGTGGTCTTTCTAATTTCGAAAACTATGACGTATGGCCGCTCTTAGTTTTGAGACGACGACCTAGGATTGCCGTAGGCGATCGCGTGACTGGTGGCCACACCGTGTCTGCCGTTGCTCACGCTGTTTGCGATCACCGTCGTGCCCGATGACCTCTCGTAACCGTTGCCCCCGTACGAGTTACCTTGGTCCTGACCCTGGCCCTGTCCTTGGTTGTTGTTGTTACCGCGGTTGTTTGAGTTGCCCGACTGACCGTTGCCGCTGCCGGCACCATTGGGGAATACGCCAAACATTATGGGGAACCAAGCGTTGAACGAAGCTTCCGCGTTACTGCTCGGACCATCGCGACCTGCGATATTTAATTGTTAATTTTTGCTGGTTATTATTCATCGACACATTATTATATTATTTATGTTATTAAGGTACGTCTTATACAGTTATACGACACACGATTACACTATACATCTTTCTAGTGGGCCCGAGAGCGTGCGTGGGAATATATCATGGAACGAGTATCGAGAGCCACTATTTTTTTCTGGATCGTAGGGGTAATTTTATTTACAAAAAAACACTATAATTTCCAGTGAAATAATAAAAAAAATCATACTATAAATTATAACATATCATCAAATATTTTGCCTACGATGATAACCATATTTATTGATCTGGTCAATTCGTAACGATTCCTCTTGTGACAGACGTCCTGATTGGATTTGGGTATTGGAAAGTGTACGGTTAAACGAAACATACACAATATTGTAAACATATTTCAATATTTGTATGATAATAATAACGACATAATTCTAAAGGCTATAGCTATGTATATTATATACGTATAATACGTGTATATAATATATTAAAGGATATATTATTTTGAGTATTATGTTTATTTTTATCATATTTTCATTTTAGAAATGCATTTATTTTTCCAGATATCCGGTCAAGTCTAGTTCAAACATTCGACAGAGAGACGTCTTGAAAGAGTATTGCTGTAAGTAAGATGTTTCTATAACAATATAGTTCCATATAGGAAACGAAATATATTATACAGTGCCCGTTAAGGTACATTAAAATATAAATATTATATGTTATGACGATTGTTTGAAGTAACTTTACAGCGGTATTTCTATATTCAACTTTTACTTTCGTAAGTAACATAGTATAAAATTAACTAAATAAACAATGCTTTATTCAGCCTACGCTTATTTTATAAATTACATTATAATAGAAAAAGTATTGACATTATCAAACGATTCATTATCATGTGATCGCAGTCTCGAAAGAAATTAGTGAAATAATAGGATATCCTTAGCGGTGAATTGGGGTACTATAATGTATTTATAAATGTTATTAACTTAATGGCCGATACATTTTTATTGTTATTATTATTAAATACTAATACATTTTGAACATTAGTCTTCTTCTAAAAAATAAAATGTTAAATAAATAGTTTTTTAACCATAATAATATTAACAGTTATTCATGAAAATGTATAATATTCTTGCTCTGTGGAACTTTTTCGTAGTATGGAATTTTATAAAATTTTTTGAATCAATAATCTATACTAGCCATCAGTTAATATAACAAAATATTATAATGAGTATTAAGCATTGTTCGTCTCTGATAAATGGAATTTTCTTCGTATATGTTTTATGAATTATGAATACATAGTTATTTTAAACTGATAATGGATTCCTTGAAATCATACTTTTCTCGATAAAACAAATTATGAACATGTACTTAAATCACGCAGATCAATTACAGCAAACTCTTTTTAAGGAAAACAGTTTCGAATTAGAAATAAATTTAAAACTACTATACAACAGCAGTCATAATGGCCTAAAACGGTTGACGGTATAATAATAATGTGCAATAATGTTGCCGTCGTGTACACGGCAATAATATTATATTGATTAGAAAAATATTATTAAAATATTCACTGTCCATAATATTATGCCAGTATGCTAACGGCAATGACCTCCACGACGTGCTAAAGAGAACAATATAATAATAATAATAATAATAGTGATGTTTTCTTATGGAACAAAACTATTATATTATTTTGTATTTTACTTTACAACTGTGTTTGACATCTTACGTTTGTCGTCGTGAGTACTCGCGCACCTACTAAATAAACATGACGTAGGTATTCATTTATCCGTTCATCCTTCTCCTGTCAAGACTGTTAAGAGTTAAAAAACCGTTTTAATACCTACTTAAAGGAAATCAGTACTTACATTTTTTTTTTATATTTATGTTTTCATTGGCTTTATGGATTTCAAGGAACCCGAATTTATACCAGGAATCAATTTTTTTATATTTAGTCTGAAAGATCTATATAATATAAAATATTGAGTGCACCTCAAACTCCCTTAGCCTCAATATTTATCAGGATATAAAAGTTGTCGAAAAGATCAAATACACTGTATGCATAAACACAGGGTGATCCACTAACCAGTGCTGCTTTTTGGAATAATTGTGTATTCCTACTTTAAGACCATAACATTTTCAGATACATAAATTGCTTTTACCATTAAAGTAGTATCGTGTAGCGATACAAACTGTTTTATTTTAAATGAGAACCACTCTAATTCTCCATAATAAATAGTAAATATTCCATAATAATCAAGTATCTGATTTTTTCGAATAATTGAATAATGAATATATATAAATACAAATTTGAACTTATAAGCTTTGGGTTATTTCGATGTACCTACGTGACAAGGGTAAATAATTATTGATATTTTTACATGAAATATAAATATATATATATATATTATGAATATTCAGTCTGGAACCTACCTACGACTATAATCGGGAAACATTTACAAAACCATAAAATGCTAATATAATAATATTAATAATCATACATTTCAAATCATGATATCCCCCGTATATTATATTAACCTATATATTATCATGGACTATTGTTAATTTCATTTTAGCCTTAGAACATAAAGCTTATTAAATTATTGTACTACTCATCGTTTGAATCTCGATTTATATACATCAAAGATTTTTCCAAAAAAGCAATCTACTTAAAACTGTACGGTAAATGAGGGTTTTAAAACACCACGATTGAATCGACACAAGCATGATACTCAAAGGAAGGAAAAAAAACTGATTATCATAGAAAAATATCATATTTAAGTACCTTATGCACTAAAAAATGTAAAAATTCAAAATTTCGAACAAGTTTGTTTTTTGAAGGACGCGAAAAAGCTGAACCACAAGTTGAAGGCGAATCACACAAGTAGCCAAGTAGGCACCTATTCAATATCCATATTAGCATCGAACCCCGGTGCGGCGTGAGTAATATATCGACACGCTTACCTCTGTGCTGTTTCTTGTTGTCTGCTTGTTCCACGCTGTTGTTGCTCTGTTCCCTGGAATCGACCGGCACGCCCGACTTCGGTGGCACGTACTCTTGCGGTTGCTGTTGACTGCCCGCGGCCGACGAGCCGCCGTACTGTTGTGATGGCTGTCTGTTGGCCGGGTCGGCGGCCGGCGTCTGCTGCTGTCCCGCGACGCCCGACGGCGGCGGCCCGTAAGAGTCTTGAGTGGCCTGCGGTGGCCCGTAAGAGTCTTGCGTGGCCGGTTGCGGCCCATAGTTGTACGGACCGGCCTGCGACGGTGACCCGAAGCTGCCACCGAACATGGGGTACTCGGCCAGGCCCGTGAACGCGGACATCTGCCCGTTGGGGTTGAAACCGCTGTACGAAAACGATCGCATGGGCTCGGGGTTGCGCTTCATCCTCATCATGACCACTGCGAAAAAGGTTAACAGTGAAATGTATACCGATGTATTTTGTGAGCCAAGAAACTCGATGATGGTAACAACGAGTAGCTTGACGTAAGGTTGTCTTTCACTGCGGTGTGCATCATCGGCTTTTACTGGGTCAACAGTTGGTCGAACATTTGAAATAATTTACGAATGACGCTTATGCTGGTACATGAAATATAATCTACTCCCGTGACAATATTGACTACGATACCTAATAGGTTCTTTTTAAAAATGCAGTATGCCCGATAAACGATTTTGATTTTATCTGGTTTATTGGTAAATACAAAAAAACACGAAAGAGGCGATAATGAAGGCACGAGCTTTTCTCGACATGGTACGTGGAAGGGGGGGGGGGTGAGGGCATATTATAATTTTTAATCTAAATACCTAATAGATAATCTCGCAGACCCGTCGTGGATGTGCAGGAGAGGACTTACCTTCGGGAACCAAGAAAGCAGCGGACGTGGCCTGGAAGACGACGGCGACGACGACGACCAGCAGAGTGACGGCGGATGCGTAACGGCAAGCCATTTCGTATAGGATCTGCTGCAGTGTACTACGTTTGGTGGAGACTTGAACCGAAAACAGTAATGCCGGACTTGAGGTGAGGGGGAAGGAGGTTTCAGTCCAGTGTAGTACTTGCTGCGGGGCAGAGCTTGACGTGTAGCTGTGGGCTGCTCGGCGACCAGCGGTGGAATGGGACGAGTGACCGATCGCGATCCCGTATATATAGCCCCCCACGGGGAGTCGTTTGCGGGGTGGCCAGTGGTTCGAAGCGGGGGCGAGGGGCGTCGATTTGCCGCTGTAATAAGGTTTTGTGTGGGGGTGGGGGGTTACCCCCCGGTCCACCTGATACGTGGTCTGGACGCGTAATCGTGGTGCTGAATATTATCATATGCCTTCGCGATTTACCAATTCGACGAAGCTATTTTCCGCGAATTTCAACGGTCACCGCGCCAACGCAATAATAATGCGATGGTCACGAAAATTACAATAATAACGATACACAGTCGTCGTGTGCATTATAAAATATGTGCCCCGATCGGCCGTGTCCGGGTTCGGGCGAGATGGGCGAGTCAGCAGTTGCCAAAATGCCGCTCGAAACCCATTAACGATTCGTGTGTGCGCGGACTGCAGTTACAATATTATTATTGTTTCGGATGTGACGTATAGAATCGTCGTCAGTCGATACCTTTATCTACGCACGAACACGTAGGTTAACCGATTAAAAAATATAAATTATGATGATAATAATAATAATAATAATAATAATAATAATATAATTCCCGTTTGGATTATAATATTATTGGCACTTTACTGCAAATAGGTACCCGTGATGACGATAATATTATATTATTGTGAAGAGGCAAAAAAACTGTTTGCATATCACACAGGTAGTTAGAGTACTTACCCTCCGATGATGGTCACATGCTTGACCCAAAAATTGGATATTATTGATAATATCATTGTCTTATCAATTATTGATAATATCAATTGTCTTCGGTTGAACGTGAATGATTATTCTTATTGTCATGCCTTAAATTGTACCTAACTTTGTTTGAAGGTGCTAATTATTGCATATTTTGTTGTATTAATTTCATATTTTTACGAATATTTAGCGATACTGAAAGTAATATTACAGCATGTATTGATACAATTTTAAGTGCTGTCATATTCCAAGCCTACAGGTTCTTAGGATAGACATCCAAGTATATTATTAATATAATATTGACGATTTATTGTTGTGATATTGGGTGATGCTCGATGTCCAATTGTGGATATGGTTCCATCTTGAAGTATAATCATTAGGCGTCCTCAACGGTGTTTTTTCTCAGTTCGATTTTAAATGTTAATTGAAAAATCATTAAGCGTCCTCTATTAAATCAAAAGCCGTACTGAAATTACATTTTCATATTCTCATATTCAAAGTTTACAATGAAACTGAAAACTACTGTAATCAATAATTATAGTTTATATCAAAATAATAAATTTATAAAACAAATGTAATCCAAATTTAAAATTCAATAATAGGAAATAGGTAAATAATAAAATTTTCTTAGATCAATTTCATAACCATGCGTCTCGTATAGGTATACGTAATAAAAATAAATGCTACCCGCAAACCACAATCCTCGTAGGTAAAAATAAACATTAAACCCAATAAAAAAGAAGTGATATTTTAAATCGAAACAAAAAGAAAAATTAATATGAAAATATAATTGAAAATCAAAACAACATTAAATCGATATTATAGTGCGACGAAGTAAAAATTATTAAAATTGAAATTAGAAACACCAATATCGATTAACAAAATTGTATTTTAATCGTATGATGTAATTTTTTTATCAAGCCCCTATTGAACCCTTGTGTAATATTATATAATACTCTCATTAAAAAACATAATTACTGTTATAAAACCGATTTGGTTTGAATGTGGCCGAAAATTTGCAGGAACTACATTATATTATAGGAAAATGGTGGAGGTTTTTCCTAACCTAGTCATAGCACTTAAGATTTTACTGACATTACCTATAACTGCAGCAAGTTCCGAAAGATCCTTTTCAAAACTGAAGATAATAAAAAAACTACTTGTGGTCCCAAATGTGTCAAATTCGTTTAGTTGCAGGTCTAGCAACTCTTTCAATTAAAAAGGATTTGTCAAACAATTTGGACATGGAAGAAATTATACAAGAGTTTGCATCATTGAAAGCCAGAAAAATAAAAATTACATAATAAATAAAAATGTTGGATTCTTTATTATATTGCTTTTAAAATTATCGTAAAGAAAATGTACTATTTTAAATTAGGTAAAAATGTATTTTAGGTATTATTTAAATGTGATAAAAAATGAAATTCTTTTCCTTAATAATAATTATATGTAATTAATTAATTGGATACAGGTAAATAAAAATATTTTTTTTTTTTTTATGAATTATAAATTATAACGTTAAGGTGTACTGTGGCTTAAACCCGAAGTAGAAGTAAATATGTTTGAGGATATGATTAAGGCCGTTGTGGAGTAAATAGAAAGATCAAAAACGTAAGGGCGGCAAATTTTGATTTTGCCCATCTATACATTTTGTCTAGAACCGGCCCTGACTATGTATTAATCACAACGAGATGTTAAAATGCCAACATATTGATTAAAATATTAAAATTTGTTTACCATAATGTTTTTTTTTAGATTAGTACCGATATTCCTATGATTATAATATAATATCTTCGTCAATTTAATATGCTGGTATATAAATGTATAGGTAATACATTATTAAACATATTTTATATAGCTACCAAATATGTAAAGTGTTAGATGGACTTTTGTTAATCAATAATATGGTTATTCATTTAAGAATTAATTTAGACTTTAAAAGTTCATTCAGTACATTGGTTACTTATCTAGTTAATAATTATGGTTTTTTAAATGTATTTGTTATATTATAATTTAAAGTTATAATAGGTACACAAATAAGCAAAAAAAAAAGGAATAAGCAAATAAGCATAAACTATTTTTTTTTAATCTTTAAGTATAATATAAGTAGGTATTACATTTTCTTTTCTTGAAAATTATTAGATATTTTAAAATAAAATATTAGTTACTGTGCAATATAAGGCGCATAAATGCATAATATTAAATGTTATTACCTACCTATTTATAACGACTGTATAACCTGTGGTAGACCATCATTTTAATCTTCTTTTTCATACTTAAAATACTAAATACAACACAATTCATCAGTTATATTAAGACCTTCAATAAAAATTCTGTTATAAACCCCAAAAAATCATAAAGGATAAAAAGTCCCACCGCAGAATATAATTATGTTTCTCGAATAATAACTTTGGGCGTTGGATACCTCCTACACATTAACTATAGTAAAATGGCATAAGTGAAATTAGTTCATAATTTATTTGTAAACAACTAATTTGGATTTAATTCTAAAAGTATGAGCTGAACGAGTTCAAAAAAAAGTACCAAATTATTTCGTTACCTCTGAAACTGGGGACGTCAACATAATTTGTTTTGACATAATATTGTATGAGATAATTATAGCCTTCCATAAAATTGCCATGTTCGTGTCTTACTAATTAAATGGACGCAGTTTTTAATGTCCGAATCTAAAAAAATATATCCTAATAAAAATGCAATCATCACGGTTGGAAGTCTGAGGCTATTGGCTATTGGGGGTTAGTTTATTACAATATGTTAATTATTGTGAACCTATATAAATGGAATATATGTTCATAATATTTTTTTCTGTCCATCGTCACAATGAAAATAATAGTTTTTATCTCGGCTGTGGGCTGATTGTATTCGTATGGCGAAAAAGGTGATTTTTTTATTCTACAAATAATATTTTTCCCTTAAATACATTTTAATAATTTACCAATTAAAGCCACGCCAATGCTTGTGTGAGAGAATAATATTTACCATAATATAATTTATTGGTGTTATAATAATAATATAACAAGTAATGTTTTTTAAAATTTTTTCAACCAATTGCAGGTATTATAATATATAGTGAGTGTAATCCGAGTGTAATTCGTATTATAAACTAGCCTCACGTGACAATAGTCTTCATCAGTCTCGGAGGAGATGTGTTATCTGTAGTCCATTGTTGTCTATTGTACCTATAATGAAAATAATATTATCGTATCACGACATTATTACGTCAGAATGCCGCGGTCGGAGCTCGCCGACGTTTGTAGGCGAATGGTCGCGAATACGCAATGATGCATGATAATCGCACAAGCTCGTCGTGTTTTCCGGGCGAGATGTGTCACACTTAATTATTATTTTTAGTTCTTTCGCTACCGTTGCTGCTGCTGCTGCTGGTAGTTATCCAGGGACGTAGGTATTCCAAAGACGAAACCGTATAGTACCGTGACGACTGACGTTGCTAACATTATTTTATATTATTATCATCGCATTATTATTATATTATTGCAGTATGTTCGAGGCGACTCTCATTCATTATTGATGAACCCGGCAGTTTGTGACGCAACGCGAGCCCGGGCGCACCTGGGCGCAACGGCAGGACAGAGGTCCGGCTCGGAGGAGGACCTCTCGTCCAGACACGAGACACGGCGTCTGTATTATCTCGGAACGACGGGCACGTCGTCGTCGACCCGCACACCCGCACACCCGCACACCCACACACCCGCAAGCCCACACGCCCAGACACACGCAGGCACACGACGGACGGTATCGGCACACGAGTTTGCGATCGGTTGCCAATATAATATACTTACATTATTTATTTTTTATTTTTTTTATTTATCTTTCGCATTGTGATCGCCTCGATGACGGTTTTCACGGCACGCACACGCACGCACGCGCGAGATCCGCGTGACCGTCAAACAATAGGCACGTAAAAAACGAGAAAATAAAAATTTCAGAAAATTTTTTTTTTAACTATACACATTAGCAAAACGCGTGTCACGTACTCTCCCGACTCTAGTCTCATAGTGCACGCCGGGCCGTGAATATCTTATAAAAGGGTTTTTGCAGCCAAAGAACATGGCCGGCCGCCGTGGGAATAAACACATAAGACATTATCGTACTATGTAATATGTGTGTGTGCATGCGTGTGCATGTGCTTGTGTGTGTGCGTGGCCTGTGCGTAGATAATATAATTATTGACCACTACTGCTACTCGTATCACGAAAGTACAACATCATAATAACAATATTATTATCGCTCGTTTAGTTCGATATCGTTTA